ACATATTATCACCAAATCTTGGATTCAATCTTTTTGTCAACTTGTTTTCTTTCAATCATTACAGGTTTTGTGATTCTTTTTGGAACTGACTGAAGAGCTTATGCACCTCTTTTTTTTTTGGAGTATAAAAAATAAAAAAGCATTATTTGTGGATAACTCTGGCAATGTTCACTCAAAAATGGATGTGCATAAGCTCAGATCAATGAGGCCTACAATCAATCAGTTCCAAAAAGAAATAGTAAAACAAGTTGATAAAAAGACTGAATTCAATATTTGATAATAATATAGCATGATAAAAGATTTCTAAGCAATATTTTGTAGACTAGTCATTTTTTTACTGGTAACACCAGTAACAGTACTGGTAACAGAAAAAAATCCCCAAAATACAAAAATTATCCAGTTTCACGAGGGAAATTTGTATAAGCTGTGTAAGCAAAGTCAGCAAGTTTTAGTCCAATGCGATAACATTAACTAGCATTTTAGGGAAAAAGAAAATCCTTTGCAGGTCATGACCATGAGGGTTAAAACATAATCGAGTCCCTTTACCCTCAGTGTGACAGCTGTTTTCTGTACTGTACACCAAGGAATCAAACAAACATATTTGAACGCACACAACACTGACCAGTCTTTCTCATCTCGGAGTCTTTGGCACTCTGCTGTTGTGGTCCTGCTTGTGCATATCTCATTCTGCATCTTCTGCTGTTCTTCTCTGAGAGCTCTCTCTAACCCCTCCAGCTGAGCGCGCTGCTGAAGTAGCGTGTTATACCTGGAATCAGGCCGACATGAACAGTGTCATGGTTTAATAGTGCTTGTCTAAAGCAGCACATATACATATACATATATATATATATATATATATATAAAACACATATGTGGTATTATATCTCTACACAGAACTTGGAATCATCATCTTGTAAAATCTAATCTTGTACTAACCTGTCCTCCAGTGATCGGTGCTCTATCTCCAGGGTTCGGTGACTGTTCTCCATCGTGGAGTACCTGTGAGAGAGCACCTCCATCTCTGCTGCCTGTCTCTCATGCAGGACGCTCAGTCTCTCGTGGTCCCGGAGAAGAAGCTCATTAACGGTGCGCAGATCTTCTCTCTCCCGTATCGCGCCCTCCCTCTCAGCCTCCGAACTCTGCCGTTTCCGCTGTAGCTGTGCATTATGAGCCATCAGAGAGGAATTCTGGGAAGTTACAGTGGACTTCTCTACCTAAGAGAAAATGAGGATTCATTAGAAAGAAAGAAATGAAGACTTTTATTTAACGCAGCATGAAATCGATCAAAAAGTGTCATTTAAAATGTTACAAAAGATTTATTTTTCAAATGAATGCTGTTCTTTTTTATCAAGAATCCTAAAAACTAAATTTAGCATGATTTAAAGTATTAAAGAGCCCAAGCTGTTTTCAACATTGATAATAATAATAATTGTAGTTGTCTTTGAGGGATCAAATGACACTGAAGATTGGAATAACAGCAGCTGAACAACTTACATTTTAAAATATATTAAAATAGGAAACAGTTATTTAATAATATTTCACAATATTTGTCTTCTACTGTATTTTTGATCAAATAAATGTAACATTAGTGAACCTAAGGAACTTTCTCTAACCACACCCAAACTTTTGAACGGTAGTTTATATGCAACTTTTATCATATTTTATAATACCTATATGTGCAATATTAGCAGTGCAATTAAGCCAATAGCTTTTAGTTTAATGTGACTTACCTGCAGTTGTGCATTGTGTGTCTGCAGTGCTGTGTTGCTTTCCTGCAACGAAGCCGTCTGCTGCTGTAATGCAATTATTTGTGCCTGCAACCCATCTGACTGCACCTGCAATGTCTGCAGTTGTGTTTGCAATGACTGTTTCTCAGCCTGCAAAGTTGCATTCTGCATAAGAAAAACCAAAGGCACATATATCCGATTTCTGTAGCTCAACTAGTACAGCATGATGCTTACAACACCGATGTTGTGAGTTTGATTCCCAAACGTACATTTACTGACAAAAAATGTCTATCTTTAACACAGCTTAAATTATGAAGATGCTTAGCAGGAATAAAACATTATTTCATGCTTAAATCCCCCCTTAAGTATTTAAACAGATTGTGGACACTGGCTCCTTCATAAGACTCACATTTCTCTCCACCTCAATGAGTCGATCCTTGAGCTTAAGCAATGCCCACGTGGCCTCCTGACTCTCTCGGTGCCATGTCCACTCTGGTGGAGAACATTGTCCTGCCTTTTCCTCCTCATCTCTCTGAAGCAATGCCTCATAGTTCTGTTTGACCTGCAAAAAATCATATATATGAAGACATTTATATATATGACATGATTTATATATATATGAAGACAGTTGCTTTGGATAAAAATGAAAAAAAAAAAATTGTGTTTTAGTGAAACATGAGTTTGGTAGACTGTTTTGGTCTTTCCCCATTCAAGTATGACTACCAAGTAAACTATCTTGCTTTGGACTTGACTTCTACTCACAGTTTTAAGATCCTGTCGCAATTGCTGGTTTATCTTGGCCGATTCTTGCAGACGGGCCTCGAGGGCAGCCATTCTCTCTTTCTTAATCTTCAGGGATTTCATTAGAGAAGACTCCAGCTCTGACTCCAACTGCTTACACTGACTGAGACTGGGAGAGAGAGTGACGGAGACAAAGACAAAGGTGGTCATTCGACATTTCTAAGGAATCTGGCATTTAAAAGTATCACCTTGGGCTTCACTGAATGTATAAGTGAATGTCTGCATACCTCTGGTCTCCAGCCTCGTGATCTCCCATTCGTGTCTCCTGGTTTAACCTCATCCTCTCTAGTTCATAAGCCAATTTCTCAAGATCAGATTCTTTCTGTTGCAATTTCAACCTCTGGTCCAGCAGCTCCTGGAGCGGAAAACAGTGAATTTGAGAAAAATAAGAGAATATTGAGAAAGTGTAATAATCTACAAAGCATTCGGTATAGTGGTAACCTCTCTTAATGTCATCATCATCCTCTTGTCCACTCCAGTCTGTTGAATCAGCTCCTGGTTTTCCATCTCAAGCTCTTTGTTCTTAGCACAGGATTCACTAAGATAGTTAATCTTTTTAACCAGGGTACGGTTCTCCTTCTCAAGAACCACCAACTTCAGGTTGCTACTATCCAATGAGGCCTCCTGGATCTTCACTTGCTGCCGCAATCTCCGATTCTCCTTCACCAGACAACTCTTATCTTGCTCCAGTTGTCCATTCTCATGCACTAGACCTTGGTTTACTATGTCTACTTGTCCTTGGTTTTGGTTGAAATTGACTTGAGGCCTCTGGTTCTCAGTCTCCAATTCATGGAGCTCTACTTCAAGGCAATGAAGATTGCCGTTAGTACTTTCCAAAGATGCATGCAGGTGTTCTGTGTCAAGGGACTGATTGCTGGTCTTAATGATAATTCGGTCGTTGTGCATGTTGGCAAATGCTGGAGTAGATTTTTGAATCTTAGAGTCTACTATGTCCATCCTCCCATTTTCCTCAATATGTTTAGATTCAGAGATGAACTCATCCAATGAATGACTGGTTCCTTGAAGTTCTTCCAGGGTCTTCAACAACCTCTGGTTCTCTTTCTCCAGTTTTAGCAACCTGCTACATGTCTTTTCAGTTACCTCTTGGCCCAAAGACTTCAGCTCTACAACCATAGACACATTTTAGGTTTATTCAAGTTTACAGTTTTTGCAAGCTACTGTATGCTTCTATGTAATAGCAAGATCTTGGTTTCAAAAAGCAAAGTTTGGAGTAACATAGGGTCTTATTCAATGGCACAATGGTCCACGAGCTTCACATTTTTAAGATGCCTTGTCAAATTGCCAATGCTAATGTTTAGATATACCTGAATTCTGTTGAGGGTTCTTGGCAAGTTCTAGCTCCCAGCCCAAACGTTGTGATTCTTCCATACTCCTTTTCTGAGAGAGCTCCAGGATGACGTTCCTTTCCAGCAGCTCCTCTATTCGTCTTCTGTCCACAGTACTTTCCTAAAACACATTAGACAACCGAGTCAAGCAGATAAAAATAATAATTTGGAATGGAAAGAACAGAAAATGGTACATATTGTGGCAGATCATTTTCATGGAAATCATCACCTCTTCCATGTCATGAAGTTTTGATTCTAGTAGGAGGTTGTGTTTCTCCAGCTGGTGCAGTTTGTCAGATCGTGCTTTGACGCTCTGTAGCTCTTCCTCCAGCATGGCCTTACTTTCCATCAACACCTGATTATCCTCCTTCAGCTCCTGTCAACGGCAAAAAGAAAGTTAAGGTGAGATTTCTCACTCATGCACATATACTAGAAGCTTGGGGACAGTAAGATTTCATCAGCAAAACTTTAAATAAATGCTCTTTTTTAGAACTTTACATTCATCAAAGAATTCAGATTTTTCAAATAATTCTATTTTTTAAGCAGCAAATCAGCATATTAGAATGATTTCTGAAGGATCATGTGACACTGATAACTGGAGTAATGGCTGAAAATTCAGCTTTGCTATCACAGGAATAAATTACATAATTTTTTACACCAATTTATTTTAAATTGCAATACTTCACAGTATTAACGTTTTCACAGTTTTTGATCAGATAACTGCAGACTTGGTGAACCGAAGTGACTTCTTTCAAAAACATTAAAAAAAAAAAAACTTACCAACCCCAAACTTCTGAATGGTACTGTATGCACACATAAACATTGTTCTATACACACCTCCAGTTTGACTTTATAAAAGTTCATGTTGTGAAGTTTATCTCGGTAGCGAGCCACTTCACCCTCCAGTTTGTCTGCTCTGATGGCTCTTTCTTTCATTGCATCCAGCTCATCACGGTACATCCTGGCTGCTCGTGCATCTGTCAACAGCTGCATGTTCTGACCACGGACAAAAGTAGACGGGATAGAAAGAGCAAGGAAGAAAAAAACTAACTTTAAAATAAAAACCTTAGCCATTTCTAAACAAATATAGCACAGCTAAACTGTACATTACTTTATCTTTTGAAAGTTAAAGTTCTGAAGTTGTGCATGTAGCAAAATATAAATTGCAACAAAAGTGAAAGTTCATTGTTGGAGCTTTAGATCAGACATATTAAAATATTTTCTTTTTAGTACCTCTTGCTGAAGTCTTTTAAGCTCCGCCTCCACATTGTCCAGGTCCTGCCTGCAGTCTAAGAGCTGTTCACTTTTCTCCTCTCTGTTGCGACACAGGAAACAGATGTTTGGAAGATTTAAAGATTCAACACTCACACAGGTTCAGAGGAGTGATTAACATGCAATCACTTAATCAGAGAAGAACAAGTAAGTACAAAACCGCACAGCTAAATATGTGTGCACATAAGCATAATACATGCAAATATAACCAATGCAAGTGTGTACACAAATGCACAACAAGCCAAAAAAAGCGGCACCTATCGATACTCAAAGATAAAAAATATTGATGAACAGAACCTGCTACTTTAAGAAATCCAAGAAACTTTGACATGAAAAAACAGCACAATGTAATATAGAAAATACATTTGCATTCTCCCTAGAAATTATAGCCCTCATAGATACTGGTTCATTAATAGAGAGCATTTCCCATTGTCAAACAGATGGTGCACATGCACTTGTCTGACCCATGCATTACACAGACAGTGAGAGACAAATGATATCTCACGCTATACATTTTACAGTGCATATGTGCTTTTACTAGCTACACAAAAATCAGAAAGTTATTTTAAAATCATTGTGATCTGTTTTCTGAATAGTGCTCTGTGTTTTTGTAAGATTACGACAAAATTCAATTGCATTTTTCACATGACATCAGTATATATCATATTTATAAAAATATTAAATAATGTTTTAAATTCATATTTTATGTTATTGTAAAGTTACACCAGAAAGTTAGCATAATCACCTAAAAATGATTGTATCACTGATTTTCCAAACTCAGTTATTTCATAGTTCAGTATACCTAGAAATTTCACTGCAAAAGATGTTTTATCCCCAAATGAAACTGACTTTTGACTAAAAACTGAAGTCTACTTCCTATAAATGTTGATCGAAACATCACATATTCACTTTTAAATGTTGCGAAAGCTGTACTGTTTTTGTTCAGACATTAACACTCAATTGCTGCTCGAGAATATACTCCCAATATAGAAGTTCAAGAATGCAGCAGTGTGAGCAGTACTGTACAGTGGGTTTGTGGATGGATGGAAAAAATTGATGGATAGAAGGCTGGATGGGTGGAAAAGAGGGGGGTTGACTGTCTGTAGCATTACACTAAGAGGATCAAAGTGGGTCAGCAGAATAAGAACGGACCCTGCACTGTGCCAGGGTCTATTTAATCTGGGGCAAGCTTCCTACAGACATTTTACCGTAACCAGAGAACCAGGTATTAAAGATTAATCAGTGAAGCTTTATTAATTATCAAATAAGTAAATCAATGAAAAATAAGATAATGTACAAGATTACATTTATTTGCACTCTGGTGTAGTGCAAGTGATTAGAATGTTGAAGTAATATGAGATATATTGTTTTGGACACTGGAAACCAATATTATAAGCTTTCAATATTAATTTAAAAATTAAAAAAATAATAATAATAAAAATTCGCAATCATTAATGTTGACGAATGCAGATATGGCTGCCAATATATTGTCTATCACTAACAGTTATAGACCCCAGGAAATGTCTTGATAAGTGCAGTTGTTGACATATTTCCTATTGAAACAGGAAGCCACAGTCATGAACCATGATTTTCTGCTTGCTAAAATGATTGCAATCATACACCCATATAAACAGTTTGATCATACATCATATCTGTGCATGTGTAGGTCATTTTAGTGTGTGCGCATTTGCTCACAGCTCCTGTCTGAGGCGTTTGATCTTGGCTTTAGCGTCCGTCAGCTCTAGTGCCAGATGCTGCTGGGATAAAGGGAGCCGGCTGCTGGCGGACTCTGTGAGGGAGGAGTCATCACCAAACACTACAGACTTTATCGTCTCTTTCCCCTGCATCAGCTCCACGATGGCCTACCAGCAGAGAAAGCGAGAGAGGGGTTAGACAAGAGAATCAATTAGATAGCCAACTAAACTGTTTTGGCTTCACCCAATAGACATTTAAAGTCGAATGCATTGGCTGTTTATCATTTTATGCACCGGCTAATATTTCCTTTCCTTCATACTGCAGCCAAGCACAATAAACCTTTTTGAAACTGAATGATCATCTCCTAGAAAAGTGGGGAAGAGAATGAATTTCAAAATGACTTTTGAAGATACCTCAAATTGCCGGTCTCGCTGGTCCACTAACATTTTGAGGTTAATGCTCATACTTCTGCAGAGATTTTCCCATTCCTCTGGACACAGACCCTCCATCTCCAACCAATGCAGATCAAACACGTTCTCCTGACATTGAGTCACCTGGAAGTGCAAAAACATGTCTCAATCAGCATTTTGTATAGCTTTATAAAAGTACAACATTTTGTGTCATCTACCAACAGCTCAATTCAAAACACCTCCTGGCAAGAAAGTACATAATAGATAATAGACATAGTTACATGCTGCTGACAATCTGCAAATAATAATCTTGTTAAGTTATTAAGACACTCATTATGCCTGTAGGTGGCTTCTTTCAGGCAGACATGATTTTAATCAGTTCTCCCTGAGAAGTCCGATCAAATATAATTACTACATGACTATACAGATAATCAGCCAGCCCATATGTGTCATATTTGCCAAGCAATTATGTCTCTTGTAGTCTATTCCAGTACCTCTTGGATATGAGCTGCGATTGCTGCTTTTGTGTCAAAATGAAGACTTTGTATCTTCTCGATATACTCCTCTTTTCTTTCACACTGAAAACAGCAACAGACAGTTTTAGGTCTGCATATTAGAAGTGGCACTTCTTCATTTTGATGAAAATGCACAACGAAAAAAAAAAAAGTTAAATGAATTGTCAAGAATCTATGTGCACACAGTGACATATTACCTGCACTGCACAGCCAAGCAACAGTAGCAGCAACTTCCTGATCTCTTCTAGACCTTCCTCTAGAAAAAAAAAGGTTTCATTTGTCAAAACAAGTGCTTTACAATGCAATGGAAATTATCCTGATTCTGCTTGATCCCAATTATCTGGTTCACTCCAAGATGTTTTTAAAAGAAGCCTCTTAGGCTCACCAAGGTTGCATTTATTTGCTCAAAAATACAGTAAAAACAGCAATATTGTGAAATATTATTTCAATTTAAAATAACTGTTTTGTATTTGAATATATTTTAAAATGTAATTTATTCCTGTGATGCAAATCTGAATTTTAAGCATCATTACTCCAGTATTCAGTATCACATGATCCTTCAGAAATCATTCTAATATGCCGATTTCTACTCATGAAACATTTCTTATTATTATTAATTTGGAAAACTGTTTAATATTTTTGTTTTACCTTTTTCAGGATTCTTTAATGAACAAAAAGCATTCAGCAAATAGAAATCTTTTGTAACAAATGTCTTTACTGTCACCTTTGATCAATTTTGCTAAATAAAAGTTTTCGCAAAGACAAAAAAATCTTAGTGACTCCAGACTTTTGAACGCTAGCATACTTAGATGAGGGAAATACTGTCATTCAAAATAAATGTTTTTCAATATGCACACTTTTTATGCTGAAGAAAGATATCATAGATATCAAGATATTGTATTATAATTACAACTCCTGAAACTATAAGCGCAAACTTCCCAGAGGGACATGAAGGTACGTATTGGGAGGGATAGGAAAGTATTTTATAGTAGAAGGTAAAATAAAAATTCACACAGCAGCTTTATGATTTCTGTAAGAGCTCCTGACGGATTGCTCAAGTGTACGTCATTAGATTCAAGCCTCTGAAACTATTCTTCTCAGAAAGAGCTGACGTACCACAGACCGGGTTCTTGCCCAGCAGCAGAACATTGGGAGGAGGTGTCATAATCAGCTGATGCAGGGTCTCCTACAGTAAATAGGAGATAAGAGAGAGGAAATATGCAGAATCTTGTCCAAAAATCAGCAGCTCTGAGTTTTATTAAAGAGCAAAAACAACCACAGTTGCCATCAGTTTCTTTGCATTCAACCGTTTTAAGCTGTAAATTACAGGCAGGGCCAGGGACTGGGGTAATTGTTCAGAGACGTCTTAAAGACTTCAGGAAACTTGGGGGATGGTTTAAATCAAGACAATTATTAAACTTTGAAGTGGTGCTTTAGATGAACTCAAATGTTGTGGTCACCGTCATCTGCAATCTTATTCATTTCTAAAAAAAAAAAAAAACCACACATTAAAGGACCAATGCAGAGGTAATTCAAGAAGTTAGATTACACTGCACTCACTAAAAGATTTATTAGTTCTTCTTAAAAAGCCACATAACCAGACAACCACAGTGTTTGAGAGCATTCATTATTACAGAGCATTTCAGCTTAAATCAGTATGAAAATGTGTACAGTATTATTACTGTAATTATTAAACAGCATTATTTAATAATGTCTCCTTGTGGAAGGCAGATGTCCCAGGATGTCCAGGGCTTTTCAATGTGTAAGTTATGCTAAGACAAATCGACAAGGGTATGGGTGGGCTTACTTTGCCTGTCCCTTTTCCATATGGGAATTCGTTAATGCCGATTCTTCTTGGGCAAAATCGTTTTCAGTTTTGCTGAATAAGCTAGATCAGTGATTGAATGCTCTGAATTTCCTCAGGCTAACAAAACTCAAGGGAAGATATAGTCAATTCCGAAGATTCAAGATGCTGAGCACAAACAACTGTCACACTATTTTACATTAATTTAAAGGGGTCATATGATGTTGCTAAAAAGAACATTATTTTGTGTATTTGGTGTAATGAAATGTGTTTATGTGGTTTAAGGTTCAAAAAACACATTATTTTCCACATACTGTACATTATTGTTGCTTTGAATTTAGATTTGCATTTTGAAAATGTGACAACTTAAGGCAACATATGGTTTACAATGCCATAATTTCCACCAATTAAACTAGTAAAAAAAAAATGATTCGGCCATTATTTGGCTTGTCTGTTTTTTAGGGTACTTTCATTACTTTGACCGCTTTAGCCGGCACCATGAGAGACAGGTCTCATGGGATGTAAAATGGGTCATTTTCCAGTTTTGCTCCGGGCCATTGCTGTTTCCTAGCTACTGATTACACAGATGTTGGCTTGGCACACTGATATCTAGGCCAGCCTCTTTGAGGGGAGCTTGTAGGTCTGGTGGCGAGGCTATTTCCACAAGGACAGATGTGCAGGATGCAGGGTGGGTAGCAGGAACTTTAGGGCATGACTTCAAATCCTGCCCTTCCACCCAGACGGTCTCCATTTGGGAATATGCAGAATCCAGTGTAGTAAAAATGGAACTTGACATTGAAGTGCATGCAGCAAAAACGTATTTGAAAGAATGACTTGGATTATACAACTTTTTTAATGTATAGAGTGTACAGAGAGCAATACAGCCCACTTTTAAGTGGTCTTGGTTTTGGTAGTATTTCTATCTTTCATTCATTTCCAAAGATTCTTCAATATATAGCCTTGAAATAATCTAACTATCTCAGAGATGAATCACAAATGGGGAAACAATGTACAAAAAATAAAAATGCAGTGTATTTATCTCTTTTATTAGCTGCAAGTCACTGATTATAAGTAGACATTATGTTTGATGTTTATTCCAAAATATTCAAACAACTACAAACCTAACCTTTTTTCTATTATAATGTTAACTTATCTGACTTCTCTTCAGGAATTATGGGTAGAGTAGTTTTTATATTTATTTTAATTCTTATTTTATTATATTTATGATAGTTTATTTTATTTTTAATAAACTTTTTAAATGTTTTTATGTTTTTTTTTACTTAATTATTTATTTAATTTTCTCTGTGCCTTACCTGGTAGTATGATTTGATGTGGTAAATGAGAACAGACAGGTTTTGCGCTCTCTGGCCGACGTCATTGTTCACTTTGTTTAAACCTTGAACAGTCCCTTTGGGATTTCTGTGAAAAAAAGACATGAAGTTATTTCTGCAATATAAAATCAACCCAGCAAGAAGCAACTGAGACGTCTTGTTTCTGAAGACCTGTTTAGTACATTAACCTGGACTAAGGGGCACGAGTAATAATAGTAACAAAACACAATCCGTTCATTCATTCCCTTTTTTTTCCACATGACTTCATTCCTCAACTAGCCAGCACCAAGGCGTTGTTTCTGAAGACCTGTTTAGTACATTAACCTGGACTAAGGGGCACGAGTAATAATAGTAACAAAACACAATCCATTCATTCATTCCCTTTTTTTCCACATGACTTCATTCCTCAACTAGCCAGCACCAAGGCAGACACAGACAGAGGCAAAAGCAGCAGAATTCAGTTCAGGTCAAGACTTGAGACTTTAACTCTTGTAGTTCAGCAGCTCAAGGTCCGAGTCCTGACACAGTGACCTGAAACGCTGCTCTCCCTTGATAAAATTCAGTCTGGGATGTTGTACATGCCACCATCAAAAAATAGTCTACAATCAAGCTCTAATCCATCAGCCTCCCTGAATCTGTGGGATTACTGTGGCCAGCTTGATACTGTACGGTTTACTACCTCAGCATCTTTACAGATTATTTTGCTTTTGAAAATACATGTTCTGGGCATTAACTATCCTTTAAATGGCAACGAAATGCATGTTACCTAAGGGCATGGTTGGGTTTTAACATTTAAATACAGCTATGGATTTTTGTCTGAGATGGAAATAGAATTTGGGGCAAAAACAACCCACCCATATGCACCCATCCAAATTCTGTCCAGCCGAACAGTCTGATGGACCGACTACAAAGTGTTCCTTCATGACCATGACAAAGCATACAGTGTTTTGGGTCTCCTGCATGGAATGAGTCATTTAAAAGCTGAAACACATGCTGTCTACAACAGTGCCCGATATTACATGCAAACGACACCATAGGGTGGTGGTAACTTCACAGTATGGGGTCTGGAATGGGGGCACACAAATTTGATCACATGTAGAGACAACCTGTGAACTGAAAAGTCACTGAGAGAACCCTTTCAACAATATGCCCTTAAGCAAAGCACTCAACTAGTGTTAAATTGCATATTGTTGCTCTTTTGTTAGTTTTGTCTGCTTTTATTGTCCTCATTTGTAAGTCGCTTTGGATAAAAGCGTCTGCTAAATGCCTAAATAAATAAATATAATTATCAGTGAAGTCTGGGCTGGTCGCCACACTTCATTTGAGTGAATATTTCTTGTGGCAGGTTTATGACCTCTAATAAGGAGATCAGTGGTAGAGACATACTTTAAAGTCTTGGCTACATAAATACGCTCACCATTATATAGTTTATACTTTCTTGTGACAACATGCCCCAATCATGGGGAAAGCTGTTACAGTAAATGGAGTACGCTGTCAGAATGGAACCTTCCACTGAACAGACTTTTATAAGCTTTTTAGATAAATCTTTGTTTTGCCCAACAAACACTTGAGTTATATATTACCTTCATTATATAGTTATATATATGGGACGTCCCACATCAAATTAAATTTACTAAAGTGATTTTATATTCATAGAAAGCTTATTAAATGAAAGTAAAGAGCCTACTTTAATGTTCCAAATAAATTTTGTGAAAATAAAATGTCAAAATATGGGTAAAATAATGTTCCATCGTCATTCAGCGTAACAGACATATTTATGAATCATACTTATTCTGACCTATACTTATTAAAATATTAATAGAAAAAAAAACTTTTATTTTTTTTTATGCTTGACAACCCCTTTTCGTCTTTGACCTACACACACAATATTTGATCACATCCATTTTTTTGTCATTCTATCAGTTTGTCAGTCGTCATGACAAACACACAGCTTGATCTTCCACATAGATAATTGTTATGCTAGCTCAGATACTCTGACACACCGATACAATCTGATACAATGTTTGCTATGTTCTGCAGAATCTGCACGTAACAAACAGAAAAATTGCAACTTACCCAAGTGACAAGAGGGCTGCTCATGAACTGCTCTAATATGACTGGAATCTCACCCTCCATATTAATATTACACGATCAGAGAGATTGAAAGAAACACGCGTGGAAGAAACACATAAAAACCATATAAATCCAGCACTGGTGGTTTACCCTTCTCCATAAGCAGCTGAACAGAGGAAATCTAGCTGCATCACTGAACAAGGAAATAATCTGCAGTTCACGGCGATGCGATGCGATGCAGGATTTCACATTCATGTAGCTCGTTCCTCGTCAACAAACTGGTATCTGTTATTAGATTGAAAATAAACGCAGAATGTTGCCTTTTAAATGTTCCATCAGTACTGCAGCATCCTCCGGTGCCGCTCACACATCGCGCCGAAACTGCAGTGCGTGTGCAGGGTGCTCACTACTGGAGATCCATCCTCACTTACTAGTAGTGCATGTGAAGCTTTAAAGTAAAACCACCAGCCATTAGAACCCAAATAACACAGGATTTTAACAACTAAATGTAAACTTGAAACATTTAGGGCACGTTCGTGTTTCCTTCATCAAAGGGAAATATCCCAAAAAGATGTAAGGTCTAATTAAAAAAAGTTTTAGTATGTATTTATGTATTTTCCGTCCCACAGCATCCGCCAGATCTGGACAGCAGTAATTCCATGGCAACTGTGGTTTAGTACATCTCTGACCTTAATCTGTTACCATAACAACAGCCGTCAACCCCCTCAATCACCAGTTAAAATATCATAACAGGCTTATTGAGTGTAATCTGCCCCGGTCTGTGCTTTAAATCGTCACCAATGAGGGATGACTAGAATAATGGCCATATCCTTCTGCTGAGGGGTGGCCAACATTAAACTGTACTGGCAGAGCTATTCGTTTAATTTGGAAAGGGGGGAAACTAGTTAGTCTGTGATATTAATATCTCATAACATAGATAAAAAAAATAAAAATAAAAAA